CTGCCGCTGGCTCGTTGGCGCCGGCCGCGGCCTTACGGAAGGGTTGCGTTCCCTTTGCCAGGGAAGGGTTTATCCAGACTGAGAAATGACAACGTGAGATGAAATTTGTCCTCTGTTCAAAATCTGCAAAAAACCGCCAACAAGCCTCCTCTCCCGTTCAGTTATCGTTACTAGTGTTGGCTAAGTTAAACCTAGGTACTAAAAATCTCTTTGAGTTCCCAATACAGCTGAAATTTTGTTGGTACTTTTTAAAGGGGACGCCGCAAAAGGATGTTATAATAAAACCTGATGCCCCAAGCACACTGCTTTTGGAGAAACATGCAGACTACATAGCTTCTTACGGAACAAAGAAAGACGATTATGTAGGTATCAGTTTGCTTCAGTACTGCTGTGGCTTTAATAATAGCAGTAATTACTGTTATTTGCATGTTTAAAGTTAGGGGTTGGATAGGTGCTCACAAGTGAATTCCTTCTTGCCCTTCAATCCGAATTGGAGTATAAAAGGAAGATGGCTTCCTTCATTTTGCCAGGTCTGTGATGAGTTTTGGCATGTATTATCTGAGCACAAATTTGAAGATTATCACTTTAGCTCTAGAATTACTCTGAGACCTGGGAAATGAACTACTTTTGCCTCTTCATCCACTAGAATGCATAAGGAGTATAGGTTTATTTTCCTGTGGCTCTCTTATAAGATGCCATGCTTTTATCTGCTGTACTGAGTCTCACCTCAGAACTGCTTCTTGCTTCCTAGGCTTAATAAACACTGCAAGTAGTGTCCATTTTATGTAGTTATCAGGTGTAGCTAATCACAATTGGACTCCAGTTCTGGCAGGTGAAAAATGTGAATAACTGCTTATGTTTGAGGGGGAAAAAATGTTGCAGGTATCCTTATTGGCCACCAATGAACTCAAGCACTGTTGCTTAAGGTGGTTTTTCCTGTCCTTGGAACATAGGAGTTATAAGTACTGCACGAAGAAAATCGTACTTTGCAGATAGTTCAGGTGATCAGTTCAGGGGGTGGGCGTATATATAAGATATCGTATATGAAAATTCACTTCTTCCTGAAGCTTTAAGGTTGCAGCAGTTTTGACACTAGCAGTAAGATTCATTAAGTGTCACTGTTGTTTTTGAGACCTGTTGGGGTGGTGGTTGAGTAGAAGTTTGGGAGTCAAGACAATAACTGGTGATCTGAACTGAATTAGTGACTTACTACTTGCATGTGTTTCACTTGATGTTGAGTTTGATACTTTTAAACTGGAAAATACAAGGAAATGTACTGTGTAGAAATAGGTGTGCACATGCACCTGTATGTGTATATACACGCATGCATACAGTATATAATTTATAAGTGGTTAATAAACACTAAGCTGTTAGTGCAATGGAGAATACTTGACATGTTAGAAACTGCTTATAGATATTAACTAATATATTTTCATTGTTCTAACTTGATGATGTGCTTACCTGATTAAGGACTAAAATATTGTACTATTTAGGAGTACTGTATGTCAGAGTATTTGAGGATGAGTGGTGTTTACTGGGGGCTGACGGTAATGGATCTCATGGGACAGCTGCACCGAATGAACAAAGAAGAAATTCTGGCATTCATCAAATCGTGTCAACATGAATGTGGTGGTATAAGTGCCAGCACAGGTCATGATCCTCATCTTCTGTATACCCTCAGTGCTGTGCAGGTAAATGGAACAGGGTAATGGTGGAAACAACTGTTTGTAATAAATAAATGATTTTGATGATTGCAGATTTACAAACCGGGTACTTAAACTATTAGAAACTAATGGCAAAAACTATTTCAGTACACTGTAAAAAAAATCTAATGAACAAAACTTTAGAATTTAGCTGTGTCATTTCCTAAAAAAAGTGGTGAGGTGTGGGAATTTGTGCTTTTAATGTTCATTTAATGGTGACTTTGTTTCTATGCTGGTTAAATTTTGTAACAGTCTTGAAATGTTTCTTAGCTACATGTTTTACTGGAAGTTTCTAGACAATTGCCTTTGGATTTTCGAAATTCTTCTTAGGGTACATTGAGCTGAAAGATCTGTATGACCAGAATAAGAAAAAAATAATTAAATTTGCTTTTATACACGTGCACACACAGTGTGTGCGTGTGCATGTATACCTATATATAAAAGAAATGTTACAGCAGCTAGTTTATATTGTATCCTTCAAACATTTTGGGGGAGAGGGTAAAAAAAAAAAAAAAAAGTACCAGTCTTTTGGGCATTTTGTTTGGTGTGTAGTCTTCCCCAGAGGAAAAGGAATTATTCTCAAACTTATTTTTCCTCATAACTTTCTCCATTTCAGTTGTAATTTCATGCCTTCTTACTTCTTAATTTCTCTTAGGTTCTTCTTTAATTCCTTTTCTTTTATTCTTATGCAAAACACGGTGGAAAGCAATACCCAAAGGCTTAAATGCTTCTAAACGATTGCTTGATTCATCACAATTTATCCCTAATCCCATCTCAGGGAAGAAGTATTTAAATGGTGTTACAAATGATTACGTCCTGTTTGAGGAAGAAAGCACGTTGGATTTGAGGTGTTGGATTTGAGGTGTTGGATTGGAAACCCGTAGGTAGGCCAGAAGAGTGGTGCTTTCTTGGGTCAGTGATGGGTGTTGGCATGTATTATCTGATCTAAAGATGATGTTTATCACCACTTTAGCTCTAGAATTACTCTGAGACCCAGAAAACTAAAGTTCCTTTAGGCTGTGGCCTTTGAGCTTTCCAAACTGTACAATCAAATTCCTTTAACGAGTTTTAATCTGTGAAGAAGGGGATACAGTTTGAGGTTCTTTACGTTTGTGTATTAGAGCTGTATAGTTCAGAGGTCTATACTTGATGTTACTAGGGGATATTTTCGTGTTAACTGATTACAGTTCTAGATAGTCAAAGCTGAAAACTGTCAGCAAATGCAGATGTAAAATGTTTGTGTTCAACTTAACCAGCATGCATGTTCTTAATTTATAAATACTGTTTAAAGTCCTATCTACGAATCAGGAATATTTAATGGGTCACATCACATCCTCCTTTGATCACAACTAACAGTAATGTGCTTGGGTACGCTTTTGTTCAGTTATTCTTTTTTGCATTTCCGTAAGACTTAAAATTTAGCTTGGAACTGAAAGAGTCCAACTCTAGGTTTTCAAAGTCATAGTTGTTGATAATTTTTCCAAGATTGGCACTATAGTATTCCTTAGCTTCAGCTGTTATTTCTGTTATGCAATTTATAAGAAATTCTTAATTACTCTCTTTACAGATTATACATGTTATTGGTAAAGGCATGAAGCCAGTTGGGGTTCAGGAGCAGGATAGCTGTTCACATGGCATTGGTTTACTGGCTCAAATTAGTACTAGCTCAGGAATCTCTGTGTTCCCTACTTTGACCTTTATTTCCACCCCTCCCCCCAATAATATATTCACTGTACAGTTTGTGTCTAGTCATATTGTTCCTATTTTTACTTAAATTATCACAATTTGCTTTTATCCATTATCTTTGTAACTGGAATATAAATTAAAAAAATCTTACCATTTAAAACTGTCCTTGTTATTAGCAGACTTGGACTGTAAGTGGTATTAGTAATTAGCTGCTCAACTTTAAATCTGCAGTTTGTCCACTGCTGTTATTTATATGTGTATAAACGTAAGCCTAGGATGTCGTTATCCTATCACAAAATTCATCCATAATCTAATCTCTGCTATTCTGCATAGTACTAACATAAAAACAAACAAACCTTCTTATACATCTGAAAGGAGAGTTGGGAGATGAAACGGTATAAAGCTTGGCAGCGTTCAGAATTCATAAATTGTCTGTATTTTTGTTTGAGAATTTCTTAAAATTTTGATATAGTGATGAGCTGTAGTGCATTTAATTTAATTTTAATAAAACCTTATCAAATAGTATTCACAATCAGTTAAGTGAAGTCTTCTGTAAATCCAGGTTTCTGATTTTCTTGCAAGTCTTTGATTGTTACTGTGACTTTTTTTCCAGATTCTTATCTTGTATGATAGTCTCCATGTTGTTGATGTTAATAAAATTGTTGAATATATACAGAGCTTGCAAAAAGAAGATGGATCATTTGCTGGAGACAAATGGGGTAATTTTTAGATCTTTAAAATCTAGTGACTAGGTTGACGTGTAAGTCTACAAACTGCCCTTGGATGGTCTTTTTGTTTATGTATTGTATGTGAACACTCTTATTTCCTGAGTTCCGTAAAGAGGAGGTTTTGTGAAGGACAGAGTTGTTTCATTGCTTTCTAAAAGATTCTAGACTTCAGTTCCATTCTTACATTAAAAATAAATTGTCTGGCTCTGAAAGAACAAAACCTTCTGGCACTTGTAGTTCATGGTACTTTGAGGTACCAGTAAAGGAATGTTTTGTGTTTGCTATTTAATGGCAATCAGTTATGATCTTTATCAGTGTGGGCTATGAAAAGCATCTTTCCCTGTACAGGAATGAGATAAAAACTGTTTTTGTACTCATCAACTTCTGATTATAGTGTTCTTTTTGTTTGTTTGTTTCTGCACATGAACAAATTCTTTATGGACAAAGACAGTATTTTTAAGTGGTAGTGCACATATTTAGTCACTCTAAAAATATGTATTGCCATCAAATCCTTAAGTTGTAATAAAACCTATTCCATATCACTCATTTTTGTTCTGGTAAAATCAAATAAGTCAAGATCATGGTAGTATACCTATGCTACTGTAAAGCTGGCTGTTTAGCTATGTGTTAAAATGGTGGGAGCTAGAAGTGTTCATAATTTGCTGCATCCATTGTGTTAAAGTATCGGAAGAAATTTGCTGAATGCGCAATGGATTAATGTTGTTTTTGAAGTCCAGGTACAGCACAACTGAAAAAATGTTGTGGCTGAAGTAGGGCAGAGCACAAGTGCATGTTTATTTTATCTGTTACGTTTGTGGATTTCTTAAGAAGAATAGACTTGCATCAGTTTGAAAGACCTTTCATTGGTTCAATGTTTGTGGTTGGGTGCAATTTTAAATGTTGCATACTTCAAGTATTGTTTGAAGTATGTATTAGGAGAAGTATACTGGTATGGATATACTGAGCAGTCGAGCAGTTGTTCTGTTGCAGGTATAGCTTTCCTTGGTTTAGCTTTGAGGTATAGGTATGCAAAAGAACACTTGCAACTCTAGTCAGCCTTTCAAAAATGGTTTCTACTTCTGCTCAGATATCAGAGAGAATCTTAAATGTTTAAGGGGGATAAAGAGTTGTGTTGCAGCATTTTTTGAGAATCCAGTGCTCTGCAATTGTCCAGTAGGGCACTACATTATAAGCTTTAAAATTAAATAGCTACTCGTAACTTAGCAGTAGTTGAATTGATTTGGATAGGTATCTGACTAAATACAAGCTGCTGCTGAGTTATTCACTTTTTTATGCAGATCACTTGAGTTGTGACATGGGCTCTTTAAATTATTGAGGATATAACCTAACAGTCCTGGGGCATGTTTACTTTGCTTATTTTTTTTCAGTGTAAAGCCTAGTATTTTAACATTTTGTTCCAAATTTTCAATGGTGGTGTAAATATATATTTATTATTAATAAAAATAATCTGTATTTCATTGCTTCCTCCTCCTGCTCCCCGATAGGAGAAATAGATACGAGGTTCTCCTTCTGTGCTGCCGCAACTCTTGCACTTCTGGTAAGTCCTAAATCATCATTTGCACAAGTACAGAATCTTCTCACTGGTATTGCTGAAGCTGCAGTATTTAATCAGCTTGACAGAATGTAAAATGCATTAGATGCTTCTCTGACTTGCAGGGAAAACTGGACGCTGTTGATGTGGGGAAAGCAGTAGAATTTGTTTTGTCCTGTATGAACTTTGACGGAGGATTTGGTTGTAGGCCAGGTTCTGAATCACATGCAGGACAGGTGAGTTTTTCTTTATATGGAAATGTTTTAAATTATCAAGCATCACATGCTACTTAGGAATGTTTCCAACATCTGTCAGTGATGCTCGTTGAAGTACCTTTCTCGTTACCCAAATGCCTGGTTCTAGTCCCTTAGTTACAATAAACAAATAGGCAGATAGGGGTGATGAGTTTAGGGAGAGGCATGGCAGGTGAGAGTCTGGGGTGGGGGCAAATCGTAAGGTAAAAAGCTGTAAGACTCTTTTGGAGTCCTACAAATATAATCTGAATAATCTTCAAATATCGATGTCAGAATAGCATGAAGATTTTTAGAGAATTTGAAATGGATGTTAATGAAGAAATTGCCATCAAGTGATAGATCTTGTCCATTTATGTTCACTCAAACTCGGTTTTTGCAGCTCTAAGCTCATGCGTGCACAGATGCTGATGAAATTGATGAAATGCAGAGGTCAGTTGTACAATGTGTTTGATATCAGCTGATGAACTGAACTAAAAACGGGAAACTGAATCTTATAATCTGATAAATTGCAGAGATGGCTGGCTTAATTTGTTGAGGAAAGCAAGTCTTGAGATGGCTAGCTCAGGCATGGGAACTTTTCATGTTTTCTTGTAGTTACTAAAGAGTATCGCTGTAGTGACAGCGAATTACAAAAAGTGGTCAATAAAATCTAGCTGAAAAGAGAAAGCAGTAGTATAATTGGAACAAATTAAGGTAGCTCTCAAGAGACTCTCAGTGACTTCTTTCAGTAGAAAATTTACATATAACGAACAGTTCCCAGTTTTAATTTTTTCCCTGGAAAGAACTATTGCACTTAATCTGAATCTGTGAATAGAAATGGACTTTAACACAATATGTTGATGCTTATGCTGAGCAGTGTCCTAGCCAGGATTCACCTGAGCACATGAAAATACCAGAGTTATTTTATTGAGGAAAACTTTTTTTTCATTTATTCCTTTTTATTGAGGAAAAAGAATTGTAAAGCTGGTGTTTGTTCCTTACCTTACAAGTTTTATCTACAGTAGTGTTCCCCATATGCTCTAAGTGGCTGGACCATGTTCTGGTATCCAAGTACGTCAGATTTAGTGGCTGAACCCACTCTGCAGTTGGCACTTCCTGGGAGGGCCAGATCTCTTGTGCGTATGCTTTAAAGCGCTGTAAAGAGCAACTACTTTGCCTCTGCTGTAGTTCTGAAGTTTTCCAGGAATATCACATTTATTTTGCAATGTTCTTGAGTAGGTTATTTCCAAGGAAAAGTAGAAAGGGATTTATCAGTACGCATATATTATTTACATGCCATAGTGAAAGAAAGCCTGATGTGACAGTAGATGTACATGGGATTGTGAGGAATGTTAATAAAATATCCAGACTGCAGGAAGGAGGTTGAGTACTCTGGCTTGAGAGCATGTATGTTTCTAAGAGAAAAACCTGTTGATCTGCTTGGTCTTCTAGGACTCTTTCCAAACCGTACACTCATGGAATATATTAGTAAAATGTTAACTGTTCGATAATTACATTGCGTAACTGGCACTTTTAGAAAAGTTACTGTAAGGTGAATAGACTTTTCCAGTGGAACATAGAACTTCTTGGAACTAAAAGGTGAAATGTGTGCTTATTTCATATTGTGTTTGCAGGACTGGATTCCTGCTTTGACGTTTTCCTGCATTTAGTCTGCTAAACTATATTTAGCCTTTAAATACACAAAAATTTATGTCTGTAATTTTAGATCTATTGTTGCACAGGATTTCTGGCTATAACAGACCAGTTGCATCAAATAAACGTTGACTTGCTGGGCTGGTGGCTTTGTGAACGACAGTTGCCTTCTGGAGGTCTCAACGGACGACCCGAGAAGGTATTTGGTGACTTCTTTTTGTTTTGTTTTGTTTTCAAAGCTCAATAGAGATTATTTTTTTCTAAAGTTGAAGAATTTGTGGAAAAGTCAGAACTACTTCATAAAGTTTACAGAGTATTCATAGAATTCGAGCCTTTTCTTGGTTCTTCATTTTGCAACTAACACCATTCTTTAGCATTCTTTAGCTATCTTTAGCTATTCTTTAGCTCTTCTTAGTTTGAGGCTTCAGTTAGGAAAGTGCGCGTACTGAAGTATGTCTTGCTGACGACTTGAGCCATGTAATCATGTTAAATGAGGACTTGAATATTTTCTGACATGAGGAATGATCTCTTCTGTAGGAGTCGTAGAAAAATTATTCTTACTGGATGTCAGTCCTGGGTATAATAGTGTTTCATGTCACAGGAGGAAATTTGGTGATGTGGAATAATTTCCACTGGCAAATAGGTAACCAGCCAATAATTTTTTTCCAGAAAACTGATTGTGGCTAATCATTTGAGTGCTAGTTGATACGAGTCTTTGTCCTTAATCCTGAAAATGATGCTGTGGATTTTTAGCCTCTCCCACAGAAGGTGAAAGCTGTTCTCAAGATCAGATTCTTATGTTTCTGCTTCTTGTTGAAGAAAGGAAAAGGTTATCTAAAAAGAGACTGCATCCAGGAGCTTTCTTCTCTTTTACTCCAGAGAAACTCTAAACGTTGTTTCTCTGCGACCCTATTATGATAGCACAGAAGATAGTATGCAGAAACGCTGATAAAATTTGCAGCATCATGTTTAAAACAAAAATAATATTCTGCTTCTCTGTTTACCAGTTACCTGATGTATGTTATTCATGGTGGGTGCTAGCATCTCTGAAAATGATTGGTAGATTACATTGGATTGACAGAGAGAAACTGCGCTGTTTTATTTTGGCTTGCCAGGATGAGGAGACTGGAGGATTTGCTGACAGACCAGGAGATATGGTAAATAACCCTTAACTGAAGTTGAAATTTCCAATTATGTTTCTCGTTTGAGTGTAACTTGTGAAGCAGATGTAAACTTTTTGCAGTGCTGCAGAGCCGGCAGTTGGAATCTGAGAAAGAACAGAGTAGAGGTGCTTTAGGATGTTTATTTTCTTGGGGAGCACATGATCTTTTATATATTGGACTTATACTACTGGATCTCACATTTAACTCACTTGCCTTTCCTTACAATTGTTGTTCGGTGTCCATAACAACGCATACCACGTGAATTGTTTGTCTCAAGACCGCTTTAAAAAAAATTAACTTTTTTTTAAACCCATTTGCAAACTTCTAGAGACCACTGCTGGCTAAGCAGCCTTCGACTCTTTTCAATACGTTTGCCTGATCCAAATGAGTCATGAGTTACTGTAAGAATCCCTACACCCGAGCTTTTGTTTGTGTATTTGACTAGTAAGTAGATGGAGGAGGTAGAAGCTTTTGTGATAGCGTTATGAAGAGGCTGGTGGTATGGATTTTCTCCTCCATTCAGAGAACAGTTATTGCTGGCTGGTCTGTTCTCTGGTTCCAAGCAGAAACAATGGAGATTACCCAGATAAAACGACAAGCAAAGATCATACCTTTCAAGGGTGCTGGTCAGATAAAATTAGAAGTATTATGAGACCTCAGTGTAATTCCTATAGAATATGTGACCTTTTGTTTGCCAAAAGTTGGGGAAATCTTAGCTATTTTTGTTACAGCTCTCCGTGTGGTCTGTCTTTCCTTTCCCCACAAATGCATTCACAAGTGAAGGAGCTTTCTGTTTCTTTGTAAGCTGATGCATTCTTTCCCCTCTGGGGGCAGGGGGAAAAACCTCTTCCCTCTGATCTGCCACTTGGAAAAGTGCTTTGGTGTGCTTAAAACGGAAAGGTTTTGTATTTCTAAGTAGAGCTATAATGTTACAGGGAGAGTTTTTCCTTTTCAGAATGGTCCAAAGCCTTAACTTTTAAAGTTGTAATAATACTGTTCTGCTTTTGAGATTAAGTATGAGTTATTTCTGTTCTGCTAGAAAAGTAACTTTGCAGAGCTTTTCTTCTATATGTAATGCAGGCGTCTATGGGTGTTTTGCATATTATTTTAGCAGGCATTTCATCTTATTTTTATCTATTATATCTGTTGTTGGATTGGGCACTGCCATAAAATCGTTGAAGCTTAGATTTTTGTTTTGTTTCTACAGAAGCTCATTCCTAACAAGTCCCATTATTTGGTTTTTTTTAATTAGTTTTAAATTTTTTTTTATTTGACATTGAGGTTGTATTTCAGGTTTTGAACAGCTTTACAACACAACTTCTATATCTTCTTAGGTGTCAAGCAACTACTCTTAACTTTGTAGTTGTGCTTACTAGCTCCAATTTGTCAGATTTTTTTTCTTTTGTCGTTTTTAAGAAGTGTCACAGAAAGGAGCGGAGGATGACATAGCGCTAGTTGCCTCTGGGAACTCCATTCATTGCCCCTTCCAGGCCTGTTTGTCTGTACGAGGAAAATCTTTCTTACAGTTCCAATAGGAGAATTTAGGGAAGCAGTACTTCCAGATGATCAAAATTGCCTTTATAGTTTTGGCTGTCTT